GGTCAGTAGCTGTAAGCTGTGGCTTTCAGCAAACAAGTCAGAGACTTTATAAGTGTGAACCAATAACTCTGTGCCTCCTGCAAACAAGTGGAAGTAGTTGGAGAAAGAAGATCAAAAGAGCAGCAAGTCCTAGCAAGCCAAATGGTCATTTCAGCGAACCCCGAGGACAGGGTCCATTGAATTTTCTTCCCAGTCTTGCACTTTACCCATATGTCCTTTTTTATGTCTATGTATATATGTAGGAGAAGATTTATAAGGGGGTTAGAGTTTCAACTGGTTACTTGTAGCTAAACTCTGTTTATTTGTAATAAACAGTCATCCTTGCTAAGCACAGAAACTTGGTTCATGCTTTGCATCAACCTGGGTCTTGAAGACAGATAAATTGCGTAATTTTGTGTACTTCTATGAATTATTTTAACTTTTGTGATGACTCTGGAGATAGCAGGACTTGATTTCCAGTGTGCTACCTCAGTAAGGCATCACACAGATGTTAAATGAGTGTCTGTTTTCCTGAGGAAGATACAAGAAGACTCTCTGAATTTGAGATCCAAGTGACTAGGGAGAATGAGGAGTTGAAGGAAATTTGTATTAGTAACCAAGTTATACTGGAGGGACTAATGGGGCTGAAAGTTGATTAGTCCTTAGGGCTTGATAGCCAAAATCCCAAAGTGTTAAAGGAAACAGCTATAGAGATAGTTGATGCATTGGAAATCATATTTTAAAATTTCACATAACCTGGAATGATTCCTGAAGATGGGAAACATGAAAATGTCACCCCACTATTTAAGAATGGATTTCGGGATAAAACAGGGATGAACGGACTCATCAAACTTACATCAGTATAAATGTGCAAAGGGACTTTCAACAAGTCACTTGAGGCTAACATGCAGGTTCAGCAAACTGTTAGGAATGGCATTGGAATGTTTGCCTGTATTGCAAGAGGTTTTGACTCCAGAAGTAGTGAAGTCTTTCTTGAATTGTATATCAGCTTGGATAGATATTTCATGGAACACTGTATGCAATTTTGGTCTCTCTTTTTTGTCAGGAAAGATATTATTGCCATAAAGAGAGTGCAATAAAAGTTGACCAGACTTGTTTCAAGATTGGCAAGGGTGTCCTATGAAGAGATTGGGCAAACTGGGTTCATATTCTGGAGGGTTTTGAAGAATAGATGGTTATCTCATTGAAACCTACAAAATATTTCAAGGGATAGACAGAGTAGATACAAATAAGATGTTTCCCCTCTTTGGGGAGTCTAGAACTGGGGGCATAATTTAAAAATAAGGGCATGTTATTTAGAACTGAGCTGAGGAGAATTCTTTTTTATTCAGAGGATTGTGAATCTTTGGAATTTTCTACACCAGAGAGTTGTGGAAGCTCAGTGTTTCAGTGTGTTTAAATGGCAGTAAGGGTTATAGGGATAGCAAAGATAAAAGGCATTGAAGTGTTTGATCAGCACAATCAAATTAAATGGAGAAGCAGGCTCAGTGGGCTGAAAGGATTACTCCTATGTTTAAAAGCCTGTATGGCCAATTTCTGAAAAACCTTGACAACATTCAGGCTTAAGTGAATTAACATTTAGGAATGATCAGCCATCTTCTCTTAACATTCAATAGCATCACCAAAGCTGAACACTCACAAATGTATATGTTGAGAGTCACCATTAAGCAGGACAGCCCCACAAATACAATAGCTTCTAGAGCAGGTCAGAGGGTAAACAGGTTAAATATTCTTTGACTATTCAATTCACTCTGTGTGACATCAAAAATCAGCTGAAGGTATTGGATACTGCAAAGGCTATCGGCCCTTACAACATTCCAGCAATATAACTGAAGACATGTACTCCAGGACCTGCCATGCCCCGAGCCAAACTGTTGCAGTACAGCTATAACACTGCCATCTACCTGACAATGTGAAAAATTTTCTATCCATGTCCTGTAAATGAAAGCAGGAAATATCCAACCTAGCCAATTATAACACCATCAGTTTATTCTCAATTATTAGTAGAGTGATAGAAGGTATCATCATCAGTGCTACTTACTGACCAATAACCTGTTGACAGATGCTCAGTTTATGTATCGCCAGGGCCATTCAGCTCATGACCTCACTACAGTCTTGGGTTCAAACACGGACAAAAGTGCTGAACTCTTGGGGGAGGTGACATCAAAGCCACATTTGACCAAGTGTAGCATTAAGGAGTCCTACCAAAACTAGAATCAATGACATCTGGGGGAAAGCTCTCTGCTGGTTGGAGTCCTATGTGGCACAAAGGAAGAGGTTGTGGTTGTTGGAGGTCAGTAATCTCGACTCTCAGACATCTCTACATCCTCAGAGTGGTATCCTAGGACTAACTATCTCCAGCTGCTTCATCAACAGCTTTCCCTCCGTCATAAGGTCAGAAGTGGAGATATTTACTGAAAATTACCAAATTTTCAGCACCATTCGTTGCTCCTTAGATAATGAAGCATTCCATGTCTCAATGCAGCAAGACCTGGACAATATCCAGGCTTGGGTTGAAAAGTGGCAAGTAACATTCATGCTTACCTCTGCTCCTAGTTTCTGTGATTGCATGTTATAGTGTTGAAACTGGATAGGTCACAAAGGTTCTGTACTGATAGTTGCAAAGTCAATACAGTAATGTTCGCTGATTGAGTCATACTGAGCACAAAAGAAAATAGTTGTGGTTGTTGGAGATTAGTTATCTCAGCTCCAGGGCATCTCTGCTGAAGCTCCTCAGGACAGTGTCCTTTAACCAATAGCCTTCAGCTCTTTCATCACTGATCTTCCTTCATCATAAGGTCAGAAGTGGTGATGTTTGTTGATGACTGCATAATGTTCAGCACAATATGCAAGTACTGAAACACTCCATGTCCAAATGAAGCAAAACCTGGACAATAAGACAAGACTTTGTGCTAACGACTAGTATGTATCATTTGTGCCTCATAAATGCTAGGCAATAACCATCTCCAAAGGAAAGAATGTAACTATTGGTTCTGACATTCAATAGCAATGCCATTACTGAATACCTCACTATCAACATCCTAGGAGTTACCACTGACCCAAAACAACTGGACTAGCCATACAATAGCTGTGACCACAAGAGCTGGACACAGCTTCAGAATTGTGTAGCCAGAAACTTAACTCCTGACTGACAAAAACTGTCTACCACCTACGAGGCACAAGTCAGGAGTATGATGGAATACGCCACACTGCCTGGATGCAGTTTCTCAACACAGTGCAGTTGTAACTCCGACAGCATGCAAGAAGCTTGACACCATCCAGGACAAAGCAGCCTATTTGAGTTTCACCAAATCGACAACCACTTATTCCGTTTTTCCTTCAATGCTCGGTAGCAGCAGCATGTACCATTGACAAGATGCACTTTGAGTTTTGTCAAAGCTCCTTAGGCAACAACTCCTAAACTGACAACCACTACCATCAAGAAGAACAAGGGCAGCAAATACGTGGGAATACCACCACCTGCAAATTCCCCTTCAATTCATTCACCACTCTGATGTTTAAATATACTGTGTTTCTTCAGTGTCTCTGGATCAAAATCTTCTTCACAATTAGTGGTCTGGATGTACAGGCATCCAATGGACTACAATGGTTTTAAGAAGACAGTTCACCAGCAATTTCTCCAGGGCAACTAGGGATGGGCACTAAATGCTGCCCTAATCAGGAAAGAACATATCCCATGTACAAATAAAACAAAAAAGTTCTATAGTGCATAAGTACATTCATGCAGAAGTTGAAAAGACTCATGAAGAGATGTTAAGAGTGACTTGGAATGCTCAACCAATTCTGGCCTTGCTAACAACAACAATATCCCCAGAATAAAGTAAAAAAGGACAACATCAACACACACATTTCAGCAATGAGCTCAAGGAAGTCAATACTGTCCAGGACAAGCAGCTGACTTGACTGGAACCCCAGTTAACACTGTCCACAATCACTTCCTCCATCACTGGTGAATAGTTACAGCAGTGACTCTATAAGATGCACTTCAGAAATTCACCTTCCAAACCCATAAGAACCACCATCTAGAAGAGCAGCAGATACATTGCACAACCACCTGTAAATTCCTTCCAAGCCACACACTATCCTAACTTAGAGCTGTACTGACATTTCTCCACCATTGCTGAATCAAAGTCCTGCAACTTTCTCCTTAACAGCACTGCGGCTGTACCTACCGTCTATGGACTGCAGAAATTCAAGCAGGAAGTTCACCACAACTTTCTCACGGGCAAATTGGGGTGGACATTGATTCAATATTGTCCAGAATTATTCTCTAGAACTATCAACCCATGGAGGACTCAGAGAGAGTGTGGCATTTACTACTATGTCAAAATGGCCAACAAATAGTTAAAAACTTTGAACTAAATTCCTCTGCTATCTTTGAGAGGACAGAAGAAAGAAACATTGAGTGTGTTCTCTTACTGTAAAGTGGAAGAATGAATGTGTCTGATATGATATTTAAAGTATCTTAGAAACAGCATACTTCTTTTTTCAACTCTCTTAAATTTTTATCATTTCTCTGTCTCTCCTGCCAAAGTTAAGCACACTGATGCCAGTTCATTCCATTGATCTTTGGACAATATCTAGGATGAAGGTTGATGTCTTAAAATTATTTTAAAGTTGTTCAGATTTTATGTACATTTTGTTACTGCCATATAGTCATTCTTTGAATCAAAAGTCAGTCTCTGACCATCTGTGTTCTGGAACTCTGGTTAGTAAATTTCAATTTGTATTGAAACAAAAGCAAATTATATGCCTTGAAATTCTACCTCTGTTTGTCTCTTTTCACAGATACTGCCAGATCTGCAGAGTATTTCCAGCATTTCCTTATTTTATTCAAGTTGCATTTGCGGTTTTGACACGTAATCCAAATTGTTATGACAGCTTCAGCTAAAAAAACTAAGTTAAATAAGCTTATGACAATATTAGCAAGTGTAATCAAATCACCAAAAGGAATGTATGTTACTGGCTCGCATCTATACCTTTTGATTCACCACCACTCTCCTCATCTTCTTCTGTTATGGTTACGTTCTCTAATTTAACTGCCTGAGATTGTTGCCGTTCAAATTCAGCTGTAGAACACAATGGTAAGAATAACTATCACTAACAAGAGAAGTGGCATCAAGCAATCACGAGTATTTTTAATGTAATGCATAGTCTGAAATAATAAATAATAGGCTGAAATTGATTCTTCCCATGAAGGCTCTGCCAAAGGACTCAAAAGCAGGACTGTGACCTTGCTTAAACTGTCTGTGAGACTGAGGGCTGATCATTCTTTATGGCAGCTAACTAATTGGCTTTCCCAGTAATGCCAACTCTATTAGGGATGGTGAACTACCAGCCAATCAGAGAACCAGTAGTTCAGAAATCTCAAAGTGCCTCTATGAGCAGTGGCTGTTAAATCAAATATGATCTGAAGAAAGACTTAAGACCTGAGGGAATGAGGACACATTAAGTAAGAGTTATTTGGGTTTGAATTAGTTGCAGAAATATCATCATCACAGAATCCCTAAAGTGTGGAAACAGGCCCTTTGGCCCAAATGTCCACACCTACCCTCACAGAATCCCACCCGGACCCATCCCCCTATAACCCACCTAATCTACACATCCCTCAACACTACAAGCAATTTAGCATGGCCAATCCACCTAGCCTGCACATCTTTGGACTGTGGGAGGAAACCGGCGCACCTGGAAGAAACCCATGCAGACACGGGAAGAATGTGCAAACTCCGCACAGACAGTTGCCCGAGGGTAGAATCGAACCTGGGTCCCTGGCGCTGTGACGCAGCAGTGCTAACCACTGAGCCACTGAGCCACCGTGTCACCCCATGGAGAACTAGTAATCGGTTTGGTGAAAATTTTATGGAGTGTGGCAAACTGAAATAAAAGCACATTGAATTCTGTTTAAATCTTTGGGAGTACAACAGTGGCATCCTGAGACTGCACCTGGAAGAACAGGACACAATAGAAGGATTGTACCTTCTGGAGCAGTCATTTAGAGTTGGATCTACGAAGACCAGCTGGGCAGGCTCCGAGGTGGGTGGGCAGCAACAGTAACATCAAGTGCCATAGGGTACCTCCATGAATCTAAAATGACGTGAATAGGAGCATTCCCCCACTACTTCAACATGGCTGAAAAATTTACCCAATAGTTTCCTCATCCAGTGCAAGACTCACGTATTGCTGTTCAAATGCCAGTGGCCGCAGGAAATGGATCTTAATTGTCCACTATATTGACTCAATTATCATCTGGATGGGAAGATTCTCCACTACCTTTCACACTGTCAGGATGGCATGGCATCATGGCATGATGAGCACTCTATCTACTGCCTCCGCTCACCATTGCACTCTTGCACCACATCCCAATACCTTTCCAGAGATCTGTTAAGATTCAACTTTGTACATGAAACTACAATAACAAAGATATTGTTTTCACTGACATTTTCTAGCTAAAGCAAAATGCCTCACATATTCAATAGTTACCATTGGATTAAAATACAACATTCAAGCCACTTTAGCAATTTAATGAAGGGTAACAAATTAAAGTCAAGTTTACTTATAAAGCAATGTTATGATGGCTAAGTATAAAGCAACCTCCAGGCTTTTCAAATAAAAACCACAGGATGTAAGTTCTGCCCTTGAGAGCTGCAAACAGCAGCCCATTCAGCCCATCATGCCTCTGCTGAAAGAGTTATATAATTAGTCTCATATCCATATATTTATTTTCCCTTCAGATATCCCTTTTGCAGTTATTATTGAGTCTACATCCAACATCCTTTCAGTGAGTGTGCTTCACTTTATAACAATGCAGTTGATAACACAAAAACATTCTCCCTATTTCATCTCTAGGTCTTCGGCACTTGTCTGACCTTTCTGCTACTCAAACAATTTCTCCCATTTATTCTATTAAAACCATTCAGAATTCCGTATACCTCTAAAAAACCTCCCTTTAACATTCCCTGATCTAAAGAAAATTACCCAGGTTCTCCATTACCACCATGCAACTGAAGTTACACATTCAATACTATTCTAATAGATTTCCTCTGCACTCTCTATAAAGTCTCAACATCAACCCCAACATTTCATACCAGGATCGAACAGAATACTTCAGCTGAAGCCTATCGAGTGATTCAGAGAGATTTGACACAGAAACATAGAAATTAGGACCTGGTGTAGACCAATTTGAGCCTGCTCTGCCATTCAACATGATCATGGTTGATTCTCTACCTCAAACCAATATTCCCACTTACCTTCCATAACCCTTGATAACTATAATGTCTAAGATGTATCAATCTCTTTATTGAATGCACTCAGTGGCCCAGCCTCTACTGAACATTCTATGGTAGTGAATTTCACTGATTTCCCATTCTCTGAGTGAAGAAACAGTTCCTCATCTCGGTCTTGAAAGGCCTACCCCCATCCTGAGACTGTGGCGCCTGGTTCTAGCTTCCCCAATCAGGGGAAACATCTTCCCTGCATCTAGCCTGTCTAGCTCCATTAGCATTTTATACTTTTAATTAGATCCCCTCTCATGCTTCCAAAGTCTAGTAAATATAGACCCAGTTGTCAAGAGCCCTGGGTGCAAGTTCCATCTGCTCTAAAGGTGTGCAATAATCTCTCTGAGCAGTTTATTTGAAAATATCAACAGGCCCTATCAAAACAATCTTGCTTCACATGACAATAGGGGTAGAAAATGGCCTTGTTGTATTATTGCTCAATTAGTAATCCAGAAACTCAGATATGACCTGGGTCCAAATCCCAACTCGGCCAATAGTGGAATTTGCATTCAATAAAATTTCTGGAATCAAAAGTCTAACAATGAGTCTGTTGATTGTCAGAAAAACCCATGTGGCTCATTAAAGCTCTTCAGGAATGGAAATCCACAATCCTTACCTAGTTTGGCCTACATGAGACTCCAGAACACAGCAATATGGTTGACTCTTAACTGCCAGCTGAGTGGCCCAGCAAGTTGTAACAATTGCTACAAAGACTCACAAACAAAAATTCAAACCAGACAGATCATCTAACATTGATCGAGGTATTGGGAATGACAACAGCCAAAACAGCACTGGTAACCCCGCAGTTCTCCTTATCAACATCTGAGAGCTAGTGCCAAAATTGGGAGACCTGTCAAGTTCCAGACTAGTCAAGCAACAGCCTGACATAGTCATATTCAAAAAACCATACCTGATAATGTCCCAGACATCATTACCACTGGATATGTCATGTCCCACTGGCAGAATGGGCCCAGCAGACAGAGGTGCACAGTTGGAAGAAAGTTGCAATGGGAATCCTCAACACTGACTCTGGAAACCATGAAGTGTCATGGCATCAAGTCAACACTGGTAAGGAAGCTTCCTGCTGATTACCACATATTTCCTCCTTTGGCTGATGACTCAGAGCTTCTCCATACCGAACAACACTTGGAGAAAGTACTGAGGGTGGCAAGGGCATATAATGTACACTTACTGGGGTATTTTGATGTGCAGCACCAAGATTGGCTTGGCAGCAGCACTACTGATCAAGCTGGTTGGGCCCATAGCTATTGGGCTGACTTTGCAGTGAGTGTTGAGTCAAGAACAAGAGGCAAAAACTTACTAGTACTAATCCTTACCAGTCTGGCCTGCAGCAGATGCATCTAACCATGACAGTATCAATAGGAATGATGACTGCATAGTCCTTGTAGAGACAAAGTCTCACCTTCACATTGACAATACCTTACATGGTGTTGCATGGCATTATCACTGTGACAAATGGGACAGACTTCAAACAGATCTAGCAACTCAAGACTGCACCTCATGGCCCAGCATATCCCCCACTCTAATATTGCCATCAAGCCAGGGGATCAATCCTGGTTCAATGAAAAATACAGGAGGACATGTCAGGACAAGTACCAAACATACCTAAAATTGAGGTGTCAGTCTGGTGAAGCTACGTAACAAATCAAAGATACCACTAAGTGTTCACACAACCAATGGATCAGATCCAAGCTCTGCAGTTGTATCACATGCAGTCATGAATGGTGAAGAACAATCAAACAACTCACTGGAGAAGGTAGCTCCACAAATATGCCCATTCTCAATTATAGGAGAGGCCAGTATTTTGTTGCAATAGATTAGCCTAAAGCATTTGCAGCAATTTTCAGCCAGACGATTCATCTTGATCTGCACCAGAGGTAGAGGTTTCCAAGATCACAGATGCCAGTCTTCACCCAATTTGATTCACTTCACATGATACAAAGAAATGGGTGGAGGCAATGGATATCGCAAAAGGTAGGGCCTTGACAAAATTCGGTCAATAGTACTGAAGTGTGCTTCAGAACTTGCTGCACTTCTAATCAAACTGTTCCAGTATAGCTATACTAGCGACTACTCCACAATGTGAAAATTTGCTCGGGTAAAAAAGGACAAATCCAACTCAGCCAGTTATCACTCCCACAGTCTTTTGTGACTCTTAATCATCAGTAAAGTGATGGAAGATGTCACCAACAAGCACCTGCTCAGCAATAACCTGCTTGGTGATACCTAGTTTAGGTTCCAATAAGGCCACTCAGCTCATGACCTCTTAAAGTCTTTGTTCAAACATGGACAAAAGAGCTGAATTCCAGAGGTGATATGTCTTGACATCAAGGCTGGATTTGACCAAGTTATGGTATCAAGGAGCCCTAGCAAAACTGGAGTCAATAAGAATTGGGGAAAAATCCCCACTGGTTGAAGTTATAAATTGCAAATAAGAAAATGGTTGTTGTTGTTGGAGGTCTGTCAACTCAGCTCCAGGACATTGCTGCAGAAGTTCCTCAGGATAGACAGATTCTAATCAACCTTTTCAGAGATATTATCACACACCTCTAGAGAAGGTGGGACTTGAACCTGGGTCTTGTGGCTCAGAGGTGGGGACACTACCACTATACTACAAGAGTCCCTAGTCCTTCAGGGTACTGTCTAAGCCCAATCATCTTCAACCGCTTCATCAATGATCTTCCCTCTTCACAAGATCCAAAGTTGCGAGATTTGGCCAACATGCACTACTCCTCAGATTCTGAGGCAGTCCATGTTCAAAGACAGCAAGACTTGGACAACCATCCTGTTACCATCCATTTTAATTCCTCCTCCCCCTCCCCTGACGACATGTCCATTCTTGGCCTCCTCCACTGTCAGAGTGAGGCCAAACATAAACTGGAGGAACAACACCTGATATTTCGCCTTGGGAGCTTACAGCCCAGTGGCCTCAACATTAACCTCAACAGCTTCAAAATCCCTCCACTCCAGCCTTATCCCATGTCCAGCCCTCCCCCTCCTCCTCACATCCCTGACCTGATCTAACCTGTCTATCTTCCTACTTGTCTATCCACTCCACCCTTCCCACAAACTAATCACAATAATCCCTACCTGCATCCATGTATCACCATTTCTCCTACATCTCCCTAGCCCCAGCCCCTCCCTCTATTTATTTCTGGGTTCCCCTCCCCCTCTCCGGTCCAGATGAAGGGTTTCAACCCAAAACGTTGACTTTCCCGCTCCTCTGATGGTGTCTGACCTGCTGAGCTTCTCCAGCCTCACACCTATAAACTCTTGACAACATCCAGGCTTGGGCTGAAAAGTGGCAAATAACATTCACGCCACACAAATGCCAAGCAATGACCATTGCTAATAAGAGACAATCTAATCACCACCCCTTGATATTCAATAGTATGTCCATCACTGAATCCCATATTATCAATATCCTTGGGGTTACCATTGACCAGAAACTGAACTGGACTCACCAATATAAATACAATGTCTCTAAGAGCAGATCAGAGGTTTATAATACTGCAGTGAGTAACTCACCTCGTGACTTCCCAAAGCTGTCTATCATCTACTTCTTGTTTTAAAAACAGCTCTATCAACTTGACCTGCCACCTTCCAATACACGTGAAGACCCAGGTCTGTCTGTTGATGCAGTATCTTTAGAAGTATGGCATTAAATATGTATTATCTCATTCTTCCTTCCAAATACATTATCTTTGCCTTAAATCTTATCTGCCACATGTGTAACCATTTCACAAGAATGCCTTTGTTCTCCTGGAATCTGTTAATATCTTCCTTATTGTTTATTACAATTTTTAGTCATCTACAGAGTTTTGAAATCCACAAATTTTGAAATTATGCCCTTTATACTCAGGTGTTAACATACATCAAAAGAATGAGTTCTAAAACCAAACCCTTCCCTCCAGTTTGAATAATGACCATTCGCGACTATTCAGTTTACTTTTCCTTAGTCAGTTTCACATCCACATCTGCCACTACCCCTTTAATCCCCTGGGGTTCAAATCTCCTAATAAATTCATTATGTGGTACTTCATCCAATGTATTTTGAAAGTCTATAAATACAATATTAACCAAAGCACTCTCATCAACTCTGTCTGTTATTTTAATGATCCCAACAAAGAGCACGCTGCATTCCTCCAATTCTGGCCTTTTATGTTTCACAGATTGCTTTGCCTCACTGCTGCTGTTCTAGTTTCAAGCACTAGAATTTCTTCCTTATCCACCACTGCCCCTCCAATTCTTCTTCAATATGCTTAAGCTTTTTACCATAACCTTATACATTCTTAAATGGTTCATCAAATTTTGTCTAATAATTCTTCCATGAAGCAACCTGAGAAGTTTGACTGAGTTAAAGAAGCTATATAAATTCAAGTTGTTATTATCAATAGCATTAAAATTCTTTCAACTTTCAACAGAAATATCTTCTTATTTTTTAAAAAATAATCAGCATTGTCATATCATGTGCTACAAGCCTGTTTTACATATACATATTGCCTTCAACCTATATGCTTTGACCCATTTTTCTATCTTCTTCTTCTGGGGTCAACTGAGAAGTTCAAAGCTGAGATCGATAAATGTTTGTTAACCAAGGGAATTAAAGGTTAAAGGTTAAAGAACCAAAAAGGGATATAATGAATTAAGAGACAGATTGCAATGATCTATTTAAATGGCAGAAAATGCTAAAGGGTCTCAATGGTTTATTCATGAGTGTTCTGATGTTTCTATGTCTTGTCACTCTCTCATCCATAAGAAGTTTTTCTACAAGATGCAAGAATTTCAGTTGGCACGTTTAAAAACACGGATTTTTTTTAAAATTGGAATTCCTATTTGTCAAATTGGTGATCTAGTTAATTGAGCCATAGAGAGAGAAACATTTCATGTTTAATCTTTAGCACATACAGCAACAAAGCTATAAAATTGACCTCTAGGAGCCTGTGTAAGACAGGAGGAAAATAATTATTCTGATTCACTCTCCTGACCATTATCTAGTGACACAAGAATGTGTTTGAACCTGGACATCTGGAAACAGTGTATCAGGCAATGATGCTCCTGAATGAAAACGTGACCTGACACAGACTGCCAAAATGAATATTCATGAATAACAGTTGAACTGAAAGAAGTACTGAAAATTAATTGTCATCCATGTAATCAAGAACTCGCGTTTTTCAGAAAATAAAAGGTTAGAAAGGAAATAAACTGGCAGAGGAAGCAAGAAAACAATTCAAAAGATTAAACAAGCTGTATGTGGAAAGTAAACAAGCACAATTATTGAAATTGGAAACTTGATATAATGCTTCAAAATCAAATTATTAAAAAAAGTTTACTAATTTACCTTGAGCTTCTTCTAACATTGTTTTTGCCAGATTTTCTTTAACAGTAACGAGTGCTGATTGCAGTGCTTCTGCCCGAACCTTTTCAATATGGTCAAACTTCAATTTCTCTCGTTGTGGCTCCAAAAGCTCGAACATGTCCAGAACCTGAAATATTGTTTTGTAGCAGCATTATTTGATTTTTACTGTGAAAGTATATTTAGCATTCATTGACAATTTTCACAGATAATGGAAGCCCTACAGAGTAAGAGCTTCCAGCACTCTTCTTCCAAAGATCCTTCACTGGCATGATGAACTGGTTCCACAACGGCTGATGTAATTTGTCATAAGTTAAAGTTATGGCTATATTTATTGAAGAACTACGTGCATGTCATAAATCAGATGTGACTAAAAATCCTCCCCCATTGCCAGACAGGAGCCATCAGTAAAAGTCGCACTATAGGCAAGATGAGCTCCATCCAGCAATCCCATAACAATCAAGACAATGGGCCTAGCGTTGGAAAGTGGGACTAGTGTAGATTTAGTGTAGCTTTGGTGGCGCAAATCTGATCCCAATTACAGCCTCCAAAGTGTTGACTTCAGTGGAGTTCCTTCAAAATTAATGCAAAATGAATCTCCTGAAATACTCTTTTCATTCACTTTTACGTGTTTAAACAGGCAAGTTCTACTGATTGCCAGCAAGAGTAAAAAAGAAAAGTGATGCTGTAGACTTGCAGTGGGAGATGACTGTTGAGAAGGAAATTAATCAGAACAGTAACTTTGGAACTTACAAATAAATCTAATGATGCATAAGTGCTTCCTTAAGACTTTTTCCTGGTGATTAGTGACACCATACCCTTAGTGTGTGGGGGACATGTAACAATCAACAACATAAACCTTGTTGAATATTTCAGCTGTCCTCTTCCCTTTCCCCCTATTATAATGAAGGGAATATCTTGGGATTCCTCCAAGTATCTTTGAAATAATGGATATCAGGCTATATGACCTGTAGTTCCTGGCTCTGATACATGCTTTTGTGAAGATAGGATCAAAGGTCTCAAGAGGACCTGCCCCACCTTTTTACTCATTCTAGATAAAATCATACTGCCCTACTAGTTTTGAGGTTACTTAATCTATCCATAATAATGTTACTGCTGCATCCATTTTAATACTCATAAGAAAAAGAAACTGTGAATGCTGGAAATCAGAAACAAGAACAACAACAGAAAATTACTGGAAGAACTTAGCAGGTCTAGCAGTATCTGTGAAGAGAAATCAGAGTTAATGTTTCAGGTCCAGTGACCCTTCTTCAGAATTTTATTACACCTCTGGAGTAGGCGGGACTTGATTTGAAAAAAATCAAAACTGTGCATAGTATCCCAGATGTGATCTTACCAAGGCCATTTACAATTGTGATGGAACTTCCCAATTTTATATACCATGTCCCTTGCAATAAATAACAACAATCCATTTTGTTTCCCAATCTCTTGCTGAACCTGTGTATTAATCTTTTGTGAATCATGTGCCAGGACACAGAGATCTTTCTAAACCACCAGATTCTGCAATCTCTCTCCATTTAATTAGAGTCATAGAGCTGTACTGCATGATACCAGACCCTTCGGTCCAACCCATCCCTGCCAACCAGATATCCTAAATAAAACTAGTCCAATTTGCTAGTATTTGGCCCATATCTCTCTAAACCCTTCCAATTCATACAGCCATCTAGATGTATTTTAAATGTTGTAATTGTACCAGCCTCCAACACTTCCTCTGGCAGCTCATTCCATATATGCACCACCCTCTGTGTGAAAACATTGCTTTTCGGCCCCTTTTAAATCTTTGCCCTCTCACCTTAAACCTATGCCCTCTAGTTTTACACTCCCCCACCCCAGGGAACAGACCTGTCTATTCATCCCCTCATGATTTTAAAAACATCTACAAAGTCATCCCCCAGCCTCTGATGCTCCAGGGAAAATAGCCCTAGCCTATATAGCTTCTCCCTACAGCTCAAACCCTCAACCCTGACAACATCCTTGCAAATCTTTTCTGAACCCTTTCAAGTTTCACAACATCCATCCTACAGCAGAGAGTCCAGAATTCCATGCAGTACTCCAAAAGTGGCCTAACTAATGTCCTGCACAGCCGCAACATGACCTCCCAACTCCTATATTCAATGCACTGACCAATAAAGGCAAGCATACCAAACACCTTCTTCACTATCCTGTTTACCTGGACTTCACTTTCAAGGAACTATAAACCAGTATTTCAAGGTCCTTTTGTTCAGCAACACTCCCCAGGACCTTAGCATTAAGTGTATAAGTACTGCCCTGATTTGCCTTTCCAAAATGCAGTATCACCATTTATCTAAATTAAGTTCCATCTGCCACTCCTTGGCCCATTGGCCCATTTGATCAAGATCTTATTGTACTCTGAGGTAATCTTCTTCACTGTCCACTAAACCTCCAATTTTGGTATCATCTGCAATCTTACTAACTATACCTCCTACATTCACATCGAAATCATTTATATAAATGACAAAAAGCAGTATACCCAGCAGCAATCCTTGTAGCACACTGCTGGTCACAGGCTTCCAGTTTGAAAAGCAACCTCTATCACCACCTTCTGTATCCTACCTTTGAGCCAGTTCTGTATCTAAATGGTGGGTTCTCCCTGTATTCCATGTGATCTAATCTTTTAACCAGTCTATCATGAGGAACCTTGTTAAACGCCTTACTGAAGTCCATATAGTTCACATTCACCACTTTGCACTCATCAATCCCCTCTGTTACTTCAAAAAACAAAATCAAGTTAGTGAGACACGATTTCCCATGCACAAAGTCATGTTGATTATCCCCAATCAGTCCTTGCCTTTCCAAATACATATAAATCCTGTCCCTCAGGATTCCCTCCAACAACTTACCCACCACTGATATCAGGTTCACCTGTCTATAGTTCCCTGGCTTTTCCTTTCCACCTCTCTTAAATAGAGGCACTACATTGGCCAGCCTGCAGTCTTCCGGCACCTCACTGTGACTATCTCTCAGCAAGGGCCGCAGCAATCACTTCCTTACCATCCCACAGAGTTCTAGGGTATGCCTGATCAGGTCCCAGGGATTTACCCACCTTTATGCGTTTTAAGATGACCAGCACCTCCTCCTCTGTAATATAGACATTTTTCAAGATGTCGCTATTTATTTCCCAACGTTCTCTATCTTCCACATCCTTCTCCACAAAAATCACTGATGCAAAATACTTGTTTAGTATTTGCCTCATCTCTTGCGATTCCACACAAAGGTGGCCTTGCTAATTTTTAAGGGGCTCTATTCTCTCCCCAGTTACTCTTTTGTTTAATGTATTTGTAGAATCCTTCTGGATTCTCCTTAACCCCGTTTGTCAAAGCATTCTCATGTCCCCGTTTTGCCCTCCTGACTTTCCTCTTAAGTATACTCCTACTGCCTTTATACTCTTCTAGGGATTCACTCGATCCCTGTTGTCTATACCTGACATATGCTCCTTTCTTATTCTGGACTAAAACCTCAATTTCTCTAGTCATCAGCATTCCCTACAACTACCAGACTTGCCCTTCACCCTAACAGGAACATCTGTCCCTGGAGTCTTATTAGCTCAGTTTTGAAGACTTCCCATTTTCCAACCATCCCTTCATCTGTGAACATCTGCAATCCTCTCCCCATCAACTTTTGAAAGTTCTTGCCTAATATCATCAAAATTGGCCTTCCTCCAATTTAGAGCTTTAACTTTTAGGTCCAGTCTATCCTTTTCCATCACTATTTTAAAACTGACAGAATTGTGGTCACTGGCCCCAAGGTGCTCACCCCACTGACACCTCAGTCACCTGCCTTGCCTTATTTCCTAAGAGTAGGTCAAGTTTTGCACCTTCTCTAGCAGGTACATCCACATACAGCATCAGAAAATTTTCTTGTACACACTTAACAGATTCCTCTCCATTCAAGCCCTTAGCACTATGGCAGTCCCAGTCTATGTTTGGAAAGTTAAAATCTCCCACCATAACCACCTTATTATTCTTACAGATAACTGAGATCTCCATACAAATTTGTTTCCCCAACTTCCTGTGACTATTGGGGGGTCTATAGTAAATAGAACATAGAACAGTACAGCACAGTACAGGCCCGTCGGCCCACGATGTTGTGCCGACCTATTGTCCTACTAAGATCAAACTACCCTGCATACCCTTCATTTTACTATTATCCATGTGCTTATCCAAGAGTCGCTTAAAAGTCTCTAAAGTATCTGACTCCACCACCACTGCCGGCAGCGCATTCCACACGCCCATCACTCTCTGTGTAAAGAACCTACCTCTGACATCTCCCCTATACCTTCTCCAATCACCTTAAAATTATGCCCCCTTGTAACAGTCATTTCCACCCTGGGAAAAAGTCTCTGGCTATCCACTCTATCTATGCCTCTCATCATCTTGTACACCTCTATCAAGTCACCTCTCATCCTTCTTCACTCCAACGAAAAATGCCCTAGCTCCCTCAACCTTTCCTCATAAGACCTGCCCTCCAGTCCAGGCAGCATCCTGGTAAATCTCCTCTGCACCCTCTCTAAAGCTTCCACATCCTTCCTATAATGAAGTGACCAGAACTGAACACAATATTCTTATTTCTCAGTGCCACCCAAATAACTTCCTTGGATGTGTTCTCAGGAATATCCTCCCTAAGTACAGCTGTAATGTTATCCCTAATCAAAAATGCCCATTGTGTCTTGTCTCCTGCTCCCCACCCCACCCCACATCCACCCCCACCCCCACCCCCAATCCTTCCTATAAGATGTACACCCTGGAACATTAAGCTGCCAGTCCTGTCCATCCCTGAGCCACGTTTCTGTACTCGCTATGATATCCCAGTCCCATGTTCCCAACCATGCCCTGAGTTCATCTATCTTACCTGCTAGGCCTCTGGCATTGAAATAAAATGCAGTTTAATTGATTTTGATATGAGGCTTTTCTATTCTTTCTGTCGAAGTGGATAAATTCACATTTTCCACCAATATACTCCACATGCCAATTTTTTTCCACCCACTTAATGTATCTATGCCCTTTTCAGATTCTTTACCCCTCTTAAAAACTTATTTTCCTACCTAGATTGGTGTCATTAGCAAATTTAGTGACTGTACATAATGTCCCT